AGTCAAATATGACTAGATCTCGTGTTTATGATTGGGTATAAGAACTAGAACCGCAACCGGATCCCAAAAGCTAAAGTAGTGTTTTTCCGTTTAGAAGCTCTAAAACCGAAAACTCATAGGACTTCGGCCACACCCACAAAGATTTGAGAAGCAATAAGAAGCTTGGTTAGTGTTTTTGGAGTCAAATATGACTAGATCTCGTGTTTATGATTGGGTATAAGAACTAGAACCGCAACCGGATCCCAAAAGCTAAAGTAGTGTTTTTCCGTTTAGAAGCTCCAAAACCGAAAACTCCTAGGACTTCGGCCACACCCACAAAGATTTGAGAAGCAATAAGAAGCTTGGTTAGTGTTTTTGGAGTCAAATATGACTAGATCTCGTGTTTATGATTGGGTATAAGAACTAGAACCGCAACCGGATCCCAAAAGCTAACGTAGTGTTTTTCCGTTTAGAAGCTTCAAAACCGAAAACTCATAGGACTTCGGCCACACCCACAAAGATTTGAAAAGCAATAAGACGCTTGATTAGTGTTTTTGGAGTCAAATATGACTAGATCTCGTGTTTATGATTGGGTATAGGAACTAGAACCGCAACCGGATCCCAAAAGCTAAAGTAGTGTTTTTCCGTTTAGAAGCTCCAAAACCGAAAACTCATAGGACTTCGGCCACACCCACAAAGATTTGAGAAGCAATAAGAAGCTTGGTTAGTGTTTTTGGAGTCAAATATGACTAGATCTCGTGTTTATGATTGGGTATAAGAACTAGAACCGCAACCGGATCCCAAAAGCTAAAGTAGTGTTTTTCTGTTTAGAAGCTCCAAAACCGAAAACTCATAGGACTTCGGCCACACCCACAAAGATTTGAGAAGCAATAAGAAGCTTGGTTAGTGTTTTTGGAGTCAAATATGACTAGATCTCGTGTTTATGATTGGGTATAAGAACTAGAACCGCAACCGGATCCCAAAAGCTAAAGTACTGTTTTTTCCAGTTTAAAAGCCTCCAAAACCGAAAACTCATAGGACTTCGGCCACACCCACAAGATTTGAGAAGCAATAAGAAGCTTGATTAGTGTTTTTGGAGTCAAATATGACTAGATCTCGTGTTTATGATTGGGTATAAGAACTAGAACCGCAACCGGATCCCAAAAGCTAAAGTAGTGTTTTTCCGTTTAGAAGCTCCAAAACCGAAAACTCATAGGACTTCGGCCACACCCACAAAGATTTGAGAAGCAATAAGAAGCTTGGTTAGTGTTTTTGGAGTCAAATATGACTAGATCTCGTGTTTATGATTGGGTATAAGAACTAGAACCGCAACTGGATCCCAAAAGCTAAAGTAGTGTTTATCTGTTTAGAAGCCTCTAAAACCGAAAACTCATAGGACTTCGGCCACACCCACAAAGATTTAAGAAGCAATAAGAAGCTTGGTTAGTGTTTTTGGAGTCAAATATGACTAGATCTCGTGTTTATGATTGGGTATAAGAACTAGAACCGCAACCGGATCCCAAAAGCTAAAGTAGTGTTTTTCCGTTTAGAAGCTCCAAAACCGAAAACTCCTAGGACTTCGGCCACACCCACAAAGATTTGAGAAGCAATAAGAAGCTTGGTTAGTGTTTTTGGAGTCAAATATGACTAGATCTCGTGTTTATGATTGGGTATAAGAACTTGAACCGCAACCGGATCCCAAAAGCTAAAGTAGTGTTTTTCCGTTTAGAAGCTCCAAAACCGAAAACTCCTAGGACTTCGGCCACACCCACAAAGATTTGAGAAGCAATAAGAAGCTTGGTTAGTGTTTTTGGAGTCAAATATGACTAGATCTCGTGTTTATGATTGGGTATAAGAACTAGAACCGCAACCGGATCCCAAAAGCTAACGTAGTGTTTTTCCGTTTAGAAGCTTCAAAACCGAAAACTCATAGGACTTCGGCCACACCCACAAAGATTTGAAAAGCAATAAGCTAGCTACAGTAAAAAGTGATTATTGTTACAACTATTTTTGTCACAATATATTAATATTTCGTCACAAAATTTTTATTGTGACAAAAATGATACGAATTCTACAATGTCACAATAAAATGGTCACAAATCTATTTTAGTCTCAAGAATGTCACAAATTTTGTGACGATTAATGCGGTAACAATTTGTCACTATTTGTGACGATATGAAAGCAGTCACAAAAACGATACAATTCGTGACGAAAATAATGTAACAAATATGCCACAAACAGTGACGAAAAAATTGTCACTTTTTGGTCATAGATTGTTACCACTTGATCCGACTTGTTACCAAAATAATGTCACAATCTATCACAATTAGCGACTAAATTATAGTTACAAAAAGGTTACAATTTGTTTTTATTTGTGACGTTTTCTTCTTACGAATCTGGGGATATGAAAACCATAGAAATATAGTCACAAGTTGTTACCAAAATGTTTACCTAACTAGATGTTAACCCGCGGTACACCGCGGGCCTATATTTTTATTAAATAAACATTTAAATTTTTTTTTCGTATGATCTATAGATATATGCTATTGTTTTATTTGATTAAATATATGGTACACCGCAAAAAAATATTTTATAACTAAAAATTTGAAATTTTAAAGTATATTGTTTTGTTAATGTCGTTTTTAATTAATGTTTTTGGTAGGAAATGAAAACTTTTATGCAAGAATTATTATTATTTTATTAAATTTTCTTATTATGGTTATCCAGGATCTGAACACAATAAAACCGGGTCAATGATCCGATCCACAAAGATTTTTGACCAAAATCATTTGCAAAAATATATATATATATATATATATATATATATATATATATAAGCAAACCGTACATACGTGGTAACAAAAGGCTTCAACCCGTAAATACAAACGTAAAGATGAAAAAGAATGTAGAAGTGTTTTTGAAAATGTATTGAAGAAAAAATAAAAGCTTAGCTTACAATCATCATTATCGATATAGATATAGCAGATGATGATATGGAGAAAATATAGGTGAGCAATTGTATTTAGAGAATATACAATTATCTATATATATAGAACAATTGTGTATGAATCAAAACAACATTTTGTGATTAAACATGACAATCATCATTGGTTTGTTTGTCTTGTTTAGGATCATCTGCACAAGACATCAAATGTTTAGTATGTTACAAATAATAAAACATGAAAGTTTATATAAACATAAACAAAAACGTAATCATTACCATTTGTATTGTTTCAAAAAAAAGAGAAATAATTATGTTGTCATGAGGAAAAATGATTGATAGCTAGAAAAGCTTCAAATATATTGCTCGGAAAGTTGTGTTGAAGGAAATGGATGTTCTCAAAAAATTTTTATATAGTGATCGAATTAGTTAGGGCTTCCAAAATCGATATAGATATAGCAGATGATGATATGGAGAAAATATAGGTGAGCAAGCATAAAATCCTTGCAAATATCTTAATTAAGAATTAATTAAAATGATTTAGCTTTTAAAAAAGGAATATGCGAATATTAAGGGGTACCATTATGTTATGTAATTTCTATTTTATAATTTGTTTCTGTAAAATAGTGTACAAAACATAGTTTTTGTTAAACAATATATTCGGCGATTGATAATGAGTATATTTAGATAATGAATCTAAACTAAAATATAAGACTTGCGATTTCAATTAAATACCAAAACTAAAATGTATGATATAAAACGAAATTAATGCTATATATTTATGTGCAAAGATTTTTCCGATTTAAACAATGATAGCTTATAAAGATTAGAAAGATTTGTTTCGATATTTTTGGAAACAAATTAGGATCGTTTGTTTAATATTGTTTTTTAAAAACTCAAATCTTTTGAATTAAATGCCAAATATGCATTAATTAGATCATTAATACAAATAGGCGTATTTATTAGTAATTAGTTTAGGAAAATTATATTTAGTAGATAAGGAAACAACCATATTTTGTAGTAATTAGTTAGATTTTTATGTCAAAATCGAGAATGTTTAGATAATATTTCAATACCTTGATTTTTAGTAGTTTCCATCTCAAGTAATTAGTTTAGATATTGTAAAGATTCAAAAATTATCTAGAGAAAAAAAAAGGAATAGAGCCGATTAATGTGGCAATTAGTTTAGGAAATAAGATTAAACCGAAATATAAGAGTAATTGTAGTCATAATTGGCGATTTTTTTATTACAACATTCCTAAAATTTCTTATCCAAGATCCGGATAGAGTTAAACCCGGGTAAAACCCGGATCCAAATGAATTAATGCAAAAAAACCCTGTAAAAATGTATATGTAGATTGTAGTCACCACTTTTTTAAAATGTTAATAATAAAATAAAACATTAAAAATAAAATAAAATAATAAGCAAACGATAATATTCCATAATAAACTACCATCCAAAACAAAGTTGATTCACAAAGTATTACACAATATCATACCAAGTCTTATACTAACAACGTAATCGTAAGTGCAGCAAAATCTTAAACAAAATAAAACTATCATAAAGACAAACTTCTTGAAGCGAGCTAGCGACTTGCACTTCTTACATCAGTTAACTTCATTCCTGCAAACAACAATCTCTTACCTCAATTTAATATAATACCAGTTTAGCACGCGAGTGAAGTAAAAGAAAAATATAAATATGGAAATAACCTTTTTACGAGCTTTTTCATTTGTCAGAAGAAGAACACTCTAGTTTGTTGAGTTCAGCACCCAACATGTGATGAAGAAGTGTATCAACTCCGAGACTTACTTCGACCATTGACCAAATAAACCCATCAAATATATTTAAAACCAAACAAAGAAAAACTAAATACGATACAAAAACACATACTTCTTATAGCTATTGGCTGCATTACTCTCCTCTGCTTAAACTAAAAGTCCTTCAAACTTTGAGCTATTGGCTTCATTTCTGAATCAAATAAACAACAAAAAAACTTACTTGTTATACAAGAGTATTTTGCACAACAACAAAAAAAAAAAAAACTTACTTGTTTAAACAGACCTTTCGGCAGAAAGATGAAAACATTATACTTTGTTGTCGAAATTAAATTACCCTGCAACATTTTCACCCAACATTTCATTATAAGAAAACTCACAAACTGACTGAACGTAAATTATAAAGGAAGGATGAATCTCAGAAGAACCCATAACCCACCCAACATTATACTAATATACTTTGTTGTCGAAATTGAATTACCCTGAAGTAGACAAGACATACTGAGTAATATACTTATAATTATGGGTGAAGAAGTCTTATATGTGTTAGAATGTGAAGAGGAAAACGTTTGACTGATGAGAGATTATGTTAAACATGTTCCATTAACACAATTAAGAATCTTTGGGTCAGGAAAAAGTCAATTGGGGGATTCATGAGAAACGGAAACGCATCCCATGCTGATAAGACAATTTCTCTTAATGAAGAGTGCCTTTTTGATTTTTTAAGCTTCCAATTCCCAAATTAAAGAAAACTAAAAATCCCAAAGTAACCAATTGAGATAGCTTACCATTTTGCAAGGAGTATGAAGGCCAAGAATAATAAGAAGAAGAAGAAGAAGAGTCATCGAATCTCTGCTTCGCAGTAATCTGTTTGGCGGGACTTAACCAAGAGCTTCACCGTCTTCGTCGTTGGTTTCAAGGAGAATCCATGCCATTTCACTTCAAAACCGCAAGTGACGAGCACTGAAGACGAAGAGAGGAAGCGAGGATTGGAGTTGACCGCCATTGGAGGAGGAGATAAGAGTTTATTACTAGGCTTCAGGACAACTGTCGTGAACCCATGACTGAGAATCCCAGCAGAATAAATCCATGTAGATCTCGTAGAAACTTGGTATGTCGTACTAATTCAGCGTGGCATCGAGCTCGAACCTTCTAGGCAAATTAGGATTAGCCAAGAACAGTTGTCTCTTTTGGATCTGAATCTCCTGATTCCATGTAATTGGCGAACGGAGAAAGTCTGATTCCGATTCCATCAGTTCCGATCTCGTTCATCACAGCTTCGATTACTTCTAGAACGAAGGATCTGAGATCAGAGAAAGAGAAGTGGGAAGAGAGGCGGTTGGGTTTAAAAGAGAGGACGCAAGTCGTTTGGTTGAATGGTGGAGGAGTTAGATCGAAGATAATTTTATTTTTATCTGATAGAAGGATAAAAATAGGGTTTTTTTATTTTATTTTCGTTCAAAATATTTTTTTTTGGTCTCCAAATATTTAGAAAGAAAAACAAAACACATCATAGCGGCGGTAATTGTGTTATTTATGTCTAAGTATTAGCGCTTTTGACAAAAATTAAGTCTCCCGCTTAGTGATTCTTTCATTACAGGTATGAATCAAAAAATGCCAAAACCCCAAAAATGGAGATAAATTCTGCCAAAATCAAAATATTTTTAGTTAAGTATAAGCAAGCTTGAAATACTGTTTATTCTTTATTTGGGTGAAACTCTCCGTAATAATGTAGCATATAAATTTTAAGCATATCTATTATGCCTTTTTGAATTTCTTTATTTGGGTCAAGCTCTCTATCTGCAAAAACTCTGTTTCCATTTAAATCGAATTTAGGTTGAACTTTTTTCTCTTTTTTCATAACAAATCCATCTCCAGGGTGAAACTCTCCTCCATCTTCATAATAGAACATTTTGTTTATATCAAATCCATGATGAACTTTATTCTTTTGCTCCGTTTCTTGAACAATGTCTACTTCTTCCACCTTTTAAACATTTTCCATTTGAATGGTTTCTTGTTTCATTTCTTCTATAAACATGAAATGACCAAAAATCAATATCAATACAAAACATCAAACATACAATGTTTGTAACAGAAACAAATAGAAACCGAAAACAATAAAACCAACAAAATTATAGCAAAATCATCATGTTCTAACCAAAACAGAACACACCTCGTCAAAACCACCTAAGCCAAGACATACATTTACTTATTTCAAATTTTTATGTATTTTCATTTTTTTCCCCAAAATTAAAGCTATTTTCGTTACTTTTTTTTTTTTTTGCCATCAACGTTCTCTTTATTAATTAACAAAGACAATATTGGAGAGCATTAGAGATTACAAAATTAACCAAAGAATGAAAATAATAATTTGAATCTTGAGGAATTTGTTGCTTCGAAAGGATGTATGCAGGTTTATTGAAGTCTCGTTTTGTCCACTGAAACTTACAATCTCTAAATCTTTCTTTCCACGTTCTTACAATCTTCAAATCTCCCTTGAGAATGTTTATTCCAATGAGAAGCTTCAGATGAACCAGCAATTTGGTTTAACTTTTGGTTCACACGTTTTTATTCTTGTTACAAAATTGGTAACAATTATGCCACAATCTATGACCAAACGCAAAAGTCACAAAAATAGTGACAAATTGTGATAGAATAGTTACAAAACTCTAGTAACTAGACGTGACGTAAATTTAGTCACAAAAATCGTATAATTTAGCTACCATATTTGGTCGTAAATCCGTACTTATATTTGTGACTAAATATTTTGTAACAAATTCGACATAATTAGTGACAAAATTTGGTTACTTTCAATTCAGTCACAATATTATAACGAAATTGTAACGTTTTTATGACGAAATAAATACGTCACAATTTAGTATGTAAATGGTCACAATCTTCTGACGAAAAAAATGGTCACAATTTTTCCGTAAGAATATTCACTTTTTTTTAAGACGCTTGATTAGTGTTTTGGAGTCAAATATGACTAGATCTCGTGTTTATGATTGGGTATAGGAACTAGAACCGCAACCGGATCCCAAAAGCTAAAGTAGTGTTTTTTCGTTTAGAAGCTCCAAAACCGAAAACTCCTAGGATTTCGGCCACACCCACAAAGATTTGAGAAGCAATAAGAAGCTTGGTTAGTGTTTTTGGAGTCAAATATGACTAGATCTCGTGTTTATGATTGGGTATAAGAACTTGAACCGCAACCGGATCCCAAAAGCTAAAGTAGTGTTTTTCCGTTTAGAAGCCTCTAAAACCGAAAACTCATAGGACTTCGGCCACACCCACAAAGATTTGAGAAGCAATAAGAAGCTTGGTTAGTGTTTTTGGAGTCAAATATGACTAGATCTCGTGTTTATGATTGGGTATAAGAACTAGAACCGCAACCGGATCCCAAAAGCTAAAGTAGTGTTTTTCCGTTTAGAAGCTCCAAAACCGAAAACTCCTAGGACTTCGGCCACACCCACAAAGATTTGAGAAGCAATAAGAAGCTTGGTTAGTGTTTTTGGAGTCAAATATGACTAGATCTCGTGTTTATGATTGGGTATAAGAACTAGAACCGCAACCGGATCCCAAAAGCTAACGTAGTGTTTTTCCGTTTAGAAGCTTCAAAACCGAAAACTCATAGGACTTCGGCCACACCCACAAAGATTTGAAAAGCAATAAGACGCTTGATTAGTGTTTTTGGAGTCAAATATGACTAGATCTCGTGTTTATGATTGGGTATAGGAACTAGAACCGCAACCGGATCCCAAAAGCTAAAGTAGTGTTTTTCCGTTTAGAAGCTCCAAAACCGAAAACTCATAGGACTTCGGCCACACCCACAAAGATTTGAGAAGCAATAAGAAGCTTGGTTAGTGTTTTTGGAGTCAAATATGACTAGATCTCGTGTTAATGATTGGGTATAAGAACTAGAACCGCCACCGGATCCCAAAAGCTAAAGTAGTGTTTTGCTGTTTAGAAGCTCCAAAACCGAAAACTCCTAGGACTTCGGCCACACCCACAAAGATTTGAGAAGCAATAAGAAGCTTGGTTAGTGTTTTTGGAGTCAAATATGACTAGATCTCGTGTTTATGATTGGGTATAAGAACTAGAACCGCAACCGGATCCCAAAAGCTAGAGTACTGTTTTTCCATTTAAAAGCCTCAAAAACCGAAAACTCATAGGACTTCGGCCACACCCACAAGGATTTGAGAAGCAATAAGAAGCTTGATTAGTGTTTTTGGATTCAAATATGACTAGATCTCGTGTTTATGATTGGCTATAAGAACTAGAACCGCAACCGGATCCCAAAAGCTAAAGTAGTGTTTTTTCCGTTTAGAAGCCTCTAAAACCGAAAACTCATAGGACTTCGGCCACACCCACAAAGATTTGAGAAGCAATAAGAAGCTTGGTTAGTGTTTTTGGAGTCAAATATGACTAGATCTCGTGTTTATGATTGGGTATAAGAACTAGAACCGCAACCGGATCCCAAAAGCTAAAGTATTGTTTTTTCCGTTTAGAAGCTCCAAAACCGAAAACTCCTAGGACTTCGGCCACACACACAAAGATTTGAGAAGCAATAAGAAGCTTGGTTAGTGTTTTTGGAGTCAAATATGACTAGATCTCGTGTTTATGATTGGGTATAAGAACTAGAACCGCAACCGGATCCCAAAAGCTAAAGTAGTGTTTTTTCGTTTAGAAGCTCCAAAACCGAAAACTCCTAGGACTTCGGCCACACCCACAAAGATTTGAGAAGCAATAAGAAGCTTGGTTAGTGTTTTTGGAGTCAAATATGACTAGATCTCGTGTTTATGATTGGGTATAAGAACTAGAACCGCAACCGGATCCCAAAAGCTAGAGTACTGTTTTTCCATTTAAAAGCCTCCAAAACCGAAAACTCATAGGACTTCGGCCACACCCACAAGGATTTGAGAAGCAATAAGAAGCTTGATTAGTGTTTTTGGAGTCAAATATGACTAGATCTCGTGTTTATGATTGGGTATAAGAACTAGAACCGCAACCGGATCCCAAAAGCTAAAGTAGTGTTTTTCCGTTTAGAAGCTCCAAAACCGAAAACTCATAGGACTTCGGCCACACCACAAAGATTTGAGAAGCAATAAGAAGCTTGGTTAGTGTTTTTGGAGTCAAATATGACTAGATCTCGTGTTTATGATTGGGTATAAGAACTAGAACCGCAACCGGATCCCAAAAGCTAAAGTAGTGTTTTTTCCGTTAGAAGCTCCAAAACCGAAAACTCCTAGGACTTCGGCCACACCACAAAGATTTGAGAAGCAATAAGAAGCTTGGTTAGTGTTTTTGGAGTCAAATATGACTAGATCTCGTGTTTATGATTGGGTATAAGAACTAGAACCGCAACCGGATCCCAAAGCTAACGTAGTGTTTTTTCCATTTAGAAGCTCAAAACCGAAAACTCATAGGACTTCGGCCAAACCCACAAGGATTTGAGAAGCAATAAGAAGCTTGATTAGTGTTTTTGGAGTCAAATATGACTAGATCTCGTGTTTATGATTGGGTATAAGAACTAGAACCGCAACCGGATCCCAAAAGCTAAAGTAGTGTTTTGCTGTTTAGAAGCTCCAAAAC